GCTGACCTTAAGGTTCGCAGCCCGATTCGTAACCACTACGCTACCAGAGCTCTAGCCACCGCTATATAGAATTTGGCAGCAATGAGGGCAAGAATTATCACTGTATTGGAGAAGGAGGTGAAGGAGAAAGCATGGGGTGCTCACAGCCATACAACTTTTAGCTTGCTAGATGAGAACTGATTGAAAGCTACCCTTAAATACAGATGGTTAATGCACTTGGCTGCTAAGTGAAAGGTTGGAGGTTCGGGTCCACCCAGAAATGCCTCGGAAGAAAGACTTGGCAGTCTGCTTCTAAAAAATCAGTCATTGAAAGCCCTAGAGAGCAGTTCTGCTCTCACACACATGGATCACCATGAGTAGGAATCGACTTGATTTTTATAAGTATAGGAAGGCGGTACCATGAACTGTTTTTTTTTCAACCCTATGGGAGTTAACATAACCACTTAACTTACCCTGATCTTGCTTTAAAGGAAGTGAATATTATCGAGCAACGCAGGAGGGTTATCTTCGCTCTTTGTGTTGCCACAACAGAAACATCACAAGTGGATGACTTTCTAAAACAGAAATTTATTTTCTCACAGTTTTGAAGGCAGAACGTTCAAATCAGATTCTCAGCTATGTTGATTCCTTCTGTGAGTCTCTGTCTTCATTTTTGGTCTGTTGGTGATCTTTGGCATTCTTCAGTATTTGTCTTCTCCTGTATGTGTTTCTGGTCTTTGTATGACTCAGAAGTGGTTAGTTTTTAGGATCCACCCTACACTGATATGACTGCATTAAAGTAACAGAAACAAAAACAAAAAATTCATATTTCCAAACAAGGTCATAATTATAGATACAAAGGCTGAGATTTTAACACAGTTTTTACAGATAGAATTCTGTTGTTGTTGTTGAGGGCAAACATATACCAATTCAGTAGTTTCTACATGCACTTTTTTTTTAAAGTTTTAATTGTGATCTGAGTGATAGTTTACATGGGAGAAGATCGGTTTTACACTCATCGTTTCATTGCAATGATTACAATCTCCTCCGTGCATCATCATTCAACAATATTTACTTCTATTCCCTCTGGTTTTCTGTTTGTTTGTTTGTTTGTTTTGGGGGCCGTGGGGGATGTACACAAAAACACTCAGGAATATATAATAATTTAAACAACCAAAGGGCATATTCTGCAAGCCTGCCTCCTGGCTACCAGCACACAGCCTTTCTCTTTTCATGAGTCTACAGTCCTCAGCTGCCCCCTCTCTCCATGTCCTCATCTCTGCCTCCATCTCTGGTGTCACTGCTTCTCTGAATAGGGTCCCACATTCCACTTGTGCTCTTCTCCCTTGATGGTTCTAGGGTCTTCTGTGTCTGGACTATAAGATTAACTTCTCCCCTCTTTTTTTCTTTTTAATGTTTTATTGTGAATTATATGATAGTTTACATGGGAGAACATTAGTTTTACATTCATTCTATCGTATATCGTTTCACTGCCATGGTTCCAATCCCCTCCATGCATCATCAACTAACCAAAGGGTATACACTGCCTGCCCCCTACACTACCACCCCCGCCCCCACCCCCTGTCTTCAGCACACAGTAGCTCTCCCTCTCTGGGTCTAAAGTCTCCAGCTGCTCCATTGCTCCACGTCATCATCTCTGCCTCCATCTCAGGCATCACTGCTTCTCTGGGTAGGGTCCCGCTCTTGGCTCTTCTCTGTCGATGGTCCTAGGGACCTCCGCTCCTAGACTGAAAAGTTAATCACTCCCTTCATTGCTATAAAACGTCTACCTTTACATTTCCAACCCTCACTCCCTTCTTTTTGTTATAAAAATTCTACCTTTACAGTTGTGACAGTCTCAATTAGTCATGATAACAGTTACTCACTATTGAATCATAAGGATTTTATCCCCATCTCCTTTCACCAGACCCATCTAGACAAAATGAAAACTATTCAGTGGGGATTCTACCTTCTCCTGTACACTCTGAAACTAAACTCCCTCTTGAAAACTTGCAAGCTAGTCACTTCATGCCTTTATCCTACATTCACTTTTTAGTGACATTGATGATATTCTTTGAGTTCTGTAACCATTCTTACCCTTCTTTTCCAAGTTATTTCCTCTCCATTAACATAAACTCACTGCCCCTTAAGGTTCCTAACTAATCTTTTGAGTTACTGTTGTCAATTTAATCTCATATGTTGTTTTTGTTAAGTGCTGTCAAGTCGGTTCCAACTCAGCAATCCTGTATAGGGTTTCCAAGGAGCAGCTGGTGGGTTTGAACTGTCAACCTTGTGGTTCTCATTCCAGTGCTGATCTTAACAGCACCACGCCAGGAGTCCTAGTCTCATATAGATAGTTCTTAAAAGAGCATACATTTTTATTTATTAACTTAAGTTTTTATTGTGAATTAAGACGTCCTTGTAATGTAGTGTATTATGAGATGGATTGCTAGCCATAAGGTTAGTAGTTCTAATCTACTTGCTGCTCTGCAAGGGAAAGATGAGGCTTTCTGCTCTTGTAAAGATTTACAGACTTGGAAACTCTATACATACAGGGTGGCTATAAGTCAGAACTGACTCGGTGGCACACAACCACCACCACCATTGTGAACTGAGTGAAGGTTTACAGAACAGATCATCAACCCCACATTCAACAAATTATACACTTCGTGTCATTGCAATGAAGAGAGCATACATTTTTTTTTTTTTTGCTAGTTAAACTATTGTTTGGTTTTCAGAAGACTTCAAGGGATTTTAGGGCAGTAGTTTCAGGGGTTCATCTAGCCTTTATGGCTCTAGAAATCTTGGACTCCATGGATTTTAACACTTATTTTGGGGACACACAGTTAAATCCATAACAAAGTTGTTCCCTAATTCCTGCCCTCCAGTAGCCAGATTCTTTGACTATTTTATTCTGGAAGCGACTAGAAGCAATTCCTGCTTAGAGGTTTGTTGCCTTTGATCATAGACATCCGGGCAAATCTAAGACCAAGAGACACTTCTCTGGAAACAGTGATAACAAAGTGACAATGAGCTTCTGAGATGGTAAAAAAGCTAACCTTTCATATTGAATTTTAGCCCAAATAAATCATTATTGGTTTGGCAGAGAGTTTAGAAGGAGGATAAATTTCTGGGTGGGACAAACTTTCTGATGAGAATCAGGTGGCATCTGTAAACATTAGGATGGGAGATGAAAGAGAAGGTGGAATGGATGGTAGTAAAGTTTCAGGTTTGCAGGGTCTGAATGACTCAGGTAAGCACTGATTGTGGGAAGCCAGTTTACTGAGGTGAGAGAGCACTGGACTGGGGGTTAGCAGGCTGGAGGTGAGACCCTAGTCTCCCTTAGTTTATACCGTGAGATTTTTTTCTTTTGGGAAAAATATATATCAGAACAGTTGCCATTTCACTGTTTGTAAGTGGACAATTCAGTGGCATTAACAACGTTCACCTTGTTGTATGATCATTACCAGTAACCATGTCCAAATCTGGTCGAATTTTCACTTTCCACATTGGACACCTGGGTTTGATTTTGGCTAATGCACTTCTTGCAGAACCACCATCCATTTGTCAGTGGAGGCGTGTGTGTTGCTATGATGCTGAACAGGTTTTAATGAGCTTTCAGACTAAGACTAGGAAGAAAGGCCTGGCAATCTGTCTCCAAAAATCAGCCAACAAAAATCCTGTGGATCACAATGGTTCTATCGTGCTCTGCATGGATTGTCATAAGCTGAGAGCCAACTCAATGGCAGCCAACAACAAGTATTTTATATACGTGGGGGTCGTGTAGTATTTGTCCTTTTTTGATTCTCTTTATGATGGAATAATACTACATTAAGTGCAGGACTTCAAGGTTGATTTGAACCACAAGGTCTGTGGTTCAAACTTACCTGTCACTCCTTGGTCAACCTATACTGGGTCATTATGAGTTGGAACTAACTCAACGGCACGTAACAAGAACAAGACGTTTGGATATGCCACATTTTGTTTATTCATTCATCTGTTGGTGGACATCTGAGGTGGTTTCTACCTTTTTCCTCTTGTGCTTAATGCACATGGGTGTGTATGTACATGATGGCATTCTGAAACTGTTGGCAAGTTTCCCCATCTGTAAAGAGACGTGACTAACAGTTCACTCTTAAGGCTATTTTAAAGGTCCCTGTAGGAGTCCTGGAGTCCTCGTGTGGCACTGTGGGTTAATGCGCCAGACTGCAAAGCTGTTTGAACTGCAAGGTTGGCAGGTCAAGCTCACCAGCTGCTCCTGGGAAACCCTATTCAGGGTTGCTATGGATCGGAACTGACTCGACAACACTTCACAACAACAACATAGGAGTCCTGGTGTGATGCTGTGGGCTAATGCGTCAGACTGCAAAGCTGTTTGAACCGCAAGGTTGGTGGTTTAAGCTCACAAGCTGCTCCTCGGAAACCCTATTCAGGGTTGCTATGGGTCAGAATAGACTCATCAGCACTTAACAACAACAACAGGGGTGAACATCTGGAGTCTTGGTGTGGCGCTGTGGTTAATGAGCTGGACTACAAAGTTGGTCTGAACCACAAAGTTCGAGCTCACCAGCTGCTCCTTGGAAACCCTATACAGGGTCGCTATGGGTTGGA